GGAAGCCCCGAGGCTCCCAGAGTCCCGAGAAAAGAGCCTTTCGGCTCGGGAATGCTGCTCCAGCGAAGCCCGGTTTTCGAGAAAAACCCACTGTAAGTGAGTTGTACCTATCCTATCTTTAGTTTAGCTTATGTTTTAATATAGGAATGTTATTAGGTCCTTAAAATAATAATTTGGGCTATTATTATGAGTTATATTAAGTGTTATTAACACTTATATAATAATAATAATAGTCAGACAATTAATTTGTCACGGTTATCATTAGACTAAACCCTAGTGGTATCGATACTAGGTTTTATCGAAGGAATATCATTTTGAGAGTAGCGAAGCGCTGTCCGAGTGCTGAGTCACCACCTAATCAAGTGAGTGCATAGTTACTTTCGACTTCCACATAGATATGAAGTATTTTATATAAATTACATGCTATGTGTGCATATTATCTGAATACTTGCTATCTATGCTAGATGAACGTTGTTATACATGTTTTCAATGATTTAAATTGTATATGTATTTTATATCTACGAAAATGTTGGGGTAAAACATGGGTAGATGTAATAGGTGATGTGTGATAAAATAATGAGAGGCCTCGATGTTGTTGTTGTTGATCCAGTCATCTAGCGGAGTATAGATGACGACCACGGACTTTTCTAGACAGTCCAGTGGAACACTAGCAGGCTCGCAACCTGTAGGTGTTGTGAACGATGTGTTCACCGGTGTACTCCATCCCCCACATGGTTGCCTATTAGGACATTTATTGCTGAGGAATCCCCTTAGCAGTAGTGTCCGTCCCGATGATGATCCTTAGGCTAGGTCCCTTATGATAGGTGTTTAGGGACGTAAAGTGAGGATAACGGGAACGGGTAATCGGGTTATTGTTGATTGATGAAATTAATAAACTTATTTATTGTGGGTTGAAAACCCTATGTGCTCACCAGGCTCCCAAGCCTGACCCACTCAGTTTTATGTATTACAGGTAGTGGCGCATGAGCATAGGTGTGATGTTTTGGACGAGGGATTACGGATATAGGCCTGTAGATATGAAATAATGTAGTAAGGCTTATATTGTACTGTTTATACTTTTGATCTGTACGAACATGACATCCCGAGTCTTTTAATGAAATACATTTCTATGGAAATTCTTTTGATAAATCTTTATCATATTATTGTTTTGGGACAAATTCCGCAACCCTTTTATTAAAAGATAACTCTGATTTTGAAATAAAGTATAAACAAAACCGGTCTTTTCTGGCCGTGATTTTGGGGATGTCACAGAGGGTCTCAAGGAGGAGAGGCAGAAGTGTGAGAGGATAGTGGTCCGAGTAGCTTCGTTTGATTATGACAGTCGGGGTTTGCTGACGCTTCATGGGAGGGTGTGGGTACCGTACTGGGGTGGAGTACGACAGGTATTGATGGACGAGGCTCATAAGTCTCGGTTTTCTATCCACCCAGGGGCGACGAAAATGTATCGAGATCTTCGACCGGATTATTGGTAGCCCTGCATGAAGCGGGACGTCGCTTGGTATATTGAGAGATGCTTGACCTGCCGGAAAGTCAAGGCGGAGCACCAGAGACCTCACGACAAGATGCAGCCGTTAGACATTCCCGTGTGGAAGTGGGAGGACATCAGCATGGATTTTATCACCAAGCTCCCCAGGACCGCACGTGGAGTGGATTCGATATGGGTAGTAGTGGATCGGTTGACGAAGAGTGCCCATTTTATTCCGATCCAGGAGAGTATATTGGCAGAAAAGTTAGCCGATATCTATGTGCGAGAGATTGTGGCACGCCATGGAGTGCCGGTATCGGTGGTGTCAGACCTAGATGTCCGTTTCACATCCAGATTCTGGAAGCGGTTCCACGACAAGATGGGTACTCGTCTCCATTTCAGCACCGCTTTCCACCCTCAGACTGACGGGTAGAGCGAGAGGACGATTCAGACTCTTGAGGACATGCTTAGGGCATGTGTTCTAGATTTTGGTGGTAGTTGGGATACGTATCTTCCGTTAGCGGAATTCTCGTATAACAACAGTTATCATGCGAGCATTGATCGACCTCCTTTTGAGATGCTGTATGGGAGGAAGTGTAGGACCCCGATTTGTTGGGGCGAGGTCGGTCAGCGAGTCATCGGGAGAACAGAAGTGGTGCTCAAGACGACTGAGTTGATCCAGCAGGTCTGTAGTAGGCTGCAGACTGCGCAGAGTCGGCAGAAGAGTTACGCCGATAGGAGGCGTTCGGACTTGGAGTTCCAGGTGGGAGATATGGTCCTTCTGAAGGTCTCACCTTGGAAGGGTGTCATCAGGTTCCGGAAGAGGGGCAAATTGGGCCCCAGATTTATTGGTCCTTTTAGGGTTTTGGCCCGGGTGGGTCGGGTTGCTTATCGGTTAGATATTCCTGAGGAGCTTAGTCAAATCCACAACACCTTTCATGTGTCTCAGTTGAGGAAGTGTTTGGTGGATGAGTCAGCAGTCGTTCCCCTAGAGGATATTCTGGTTGATAGCAGCCTGAATTATATTGAGAGGCCGGTCGCGATTCTGGACCGGAAGACCAAGACCATGAGGAACAAGGTAATTCAGTTAGTGAAGGTGCAGTGGCAGCACCGGAAGGGGTCTGAATGGACGTGGGAGGCTGAGGAGGAGATGAGAGCGCACTACCCGGAGATATTTGCAGATTCAGCCGTAGCAGACTTCGAGGACGAAGTCTGAGATAAGTGGGGGAGAATTGTAACGACCCGTTTCCGGTATGTTAATTCCTTGGTATTTGTTTTGAAGTTTTGCAAGAGGGACTCGGCGAGTTCATAGCCTGACTCGCCGAGTAGGGTCGGGGTTTCGAGCACGTGTTAGCTGGAGACTCGGCGAGTCCATATTCCGGACTCGGCGAGTCTGTCCGTCTGGGTGAAACCCTAAATCCCCGGGTTGCCCACTATTTAAGCCACCTTATGGCCCTCATTCTCGCCTCCTTCACCCTCAGAAGCTGTGAGAAAAACCCTAATTCATCCTTGAGTGTTTGTAAGTGATTTTGTGGGCATTTGTGAAGGTTTGAAGAAGGAGAAGAAGAAAGGAGCAAGGAGAAGGAGTGTAGAGCAGAGATTCAAGGGAAAGCAAGAGCTCTTTGAGGTATTCTTCTAGTTTCTTTCCCTTTTTATGCTTAAAAGCCCTTTTTAGATCTAGTTGATGCCTTTCTCAAGCCTTATGTTGATATGGAAGCCTTATCATGCCGAGATATCTTTAGATCTGTGTATTTAGGATTTGTAGAGCCCAGATCTACTGCCTTTTTGGAGCTATTTTGCATATTAACCCTAGATCTACCCCTTTTATGCATCTTTTAGCCTTTATTCCCTTGTTCTTGTGTTTGTGCACGTAAAGTTGGAAACTTTACGTGGTAAACCAGCTTATTGGACTCAGATCTATCATTTGTATGTTTTGGATTCGAGCAGAAACGAGTGTAGAATAGTTGCATGGCGGTGACTCGGCGAGTCGGAAGAACGACTCGGCGAGTCGAGTCGCGAGTCCCCGATTCCTTCCTTTTGAGCGGTGTCTGTCGTGTGGGACCAGTGAGTAGTAGGGTGGACTCAGCGAGTTGAGGGTAGACTCAGTAATGGAGGGACTCGGCGAGTTGTTCATACAACTCGGCGAGTCCAAGGCAATCTTCTTAAGTTCAAGAACAACTCGTCGAGTTGTTCATATGACTCGGCGAGTCGGATGAAGATTGTCTGAGTTCTTGGATCGAGAGGGTACTCGTCGAGTCGATGCCATACTCGACGAGTAGCAGCGAGTAGGGTTGAGGTGTGAGAGTAGAGACTCGGCGAGTTGGCGGCCCAACTCGGCGAGTCAGGTCAAATGAGAGTTGACTGTGACCAAGGGTAAAAGAGTCATTTTACCCAAGTGCAATGTTTAGTATTTGATTGAGTGTGTTTATGGACTTGTAGCCAGGGAGATACCGGAGCAGCAGCAGTTAGATTCCAGAGTCATACACTCAGCAGCCAGTTTACGAGGTGAGTTTCCTTCCAGTAGGAACGGGTCTAAGGCCACAATGTCGGCCCGTTAGTAGCAGTAGTTTCCGGACTTTGGTCCGATGCAGTTGTTAGTTTGTTTGATGCCTTCGTGGCTCAGACAGGATTTATGTGTTAAGTGTTATGGGCTACGGCCTGACGTAGTATGCAGTATATGAGTTTATGATCATGTGTGTTATGCTATTTGAAATATGTTTTGCTATGCTATGCTATGCCCAGTCAGTTCCGGACTTCGGTCCGATGCAGTTAGTTCCGGACTTCGGTCCGATGCAGTTAGTCCCGGACTTCGGTCCGATGCAGGGGACAAGGTCCCAGTCAGTTCCGGACTTCGGTCCGATGCAGTTAGTTCCGGACTTTGGTCCGATGCAGGGGACAAGGTCCCAGTCAGTTCCGGACTTCGGTCCGATGCAGCTAGTTCTAGACTTCGGTCTGATGCAGTGGGCAAGGCCCAGTATGTGCTTATTTATATATTGTATGGTATGTGGTAGCTTAGGGGAGCTCACTAAGCTTCGTGCTTACAGTTTCAGTGTTGGTTTCAGGTACTTCCGCAAGCAAAGGGAAGAGCTCGGGGTGATAGCATCGCACACACCACAGCTTTAGCTTTTATCCTGGGAATTGATTTAGTTTGTTTTGATTTGACATAGTATGATACAGTTTTCCGCACAGTGTTTTTATTATGTTTGGGATACATCACGTATGGTTTTATGATATGACACTCAGATTATGATTTTGGTTATATTGAAAAACGAAATTTTTGGGTCGTATTTTTGGGTCGTTTCATTTGATTTCTGTGAAGAAGATGAACATACACACATCGATTTTTTATTTCTGTGAAGAAGATGAACACAGTGAACACACACACACACACCATACCTTAAAGATCATTTGATTCTTGGAAAAAAAGATGAACACACACACAATGATTTTTGTTCAAGAACACACATCGATTTATTTTCAAGAACTCACACATATTTTCAAAATCGAAATTAATATGGGAAGAAGATGTTCAAGAACACCCATATCGATTTCTGGGAAGAAGATTAAGGGTGTTGATCGGGTAAAATTTTCGGGTTTCGGTTAATTCGGGTCGAGTAATTCAGGTTTTTCATGTCAAAAAAATACCCGTTACCCGACCCAAATTAAACCGGGTAGTGGGTCAGGTTTGGGTAATTCAGGTATTACCCGAAAATATATAATTTTTTTAAAGGCACCTAAAAATAAATTTAATGAAATAAATTTGTTGTGCTCTATTAGTCTTGTTTATATAAACAAACTATGGATAAACGAAGTTACTTGAATTTTGAAAGGCAAAGAAAAGTATACACGAATGCATTTTTGATGAAATAATAACAACCAAAGTCAACTATCTAAATTTTAATTGATAACAATGTATATATATGTATTTTGTATTTACCAAAAAACCCCACCTCTTAAATCTAGAAAACATAGAAAACCATTAAATATTACCAATGTCGGCCACCATTTCTTTTAACTCATCTGAATCCGAGCTTTTGCCTTTGCATTTGCTTTTTGCTTTGTCTCTTCCCATTGGTCGGGAAGGTGGTGAAACTGGAACATGTTCATCTTCGTTTAGATCGAACTGAACACGAACATCTGATGTAGTGTGGTCGGACTCAGATGTTCTGTTGCGTTTTGAACCACTGTCAACATGCTCGACTGATGTTTTGTAGTTTTGCTATTTCTTGTTATCTTTCACGAAATTTCAAATTTCAAGAAACTTGAAAGCTTTCAAGTTTTCTTTTTGATACACTTTCAGCGCTTTCTTCAAAATCACATCATCGTTTTCTCCACTTTTTCATTAATGTTTCATGTTGGTATACAAATCATTAAACAACATTATTTCCTTGTTCATCTTCCCCCATTTCGAGTACACTTGATGTTTTAAAATGTATTCTCCACGGTTCACTCATTTATGGAACATATGTAAAACGCGAATAAAAAAACGATCATGCTTTTGGTCTTTTCCAATCTTCGCATCTTCTAAAATATCGATCCAAGATTGTACCAACACTAACATTTCTAGGGGTTCCCAAGATTTAACCTCCGTCTTATCTTTTCTTTTAGTTGTTGTTCGAGTGGGCTGAGTTTCTTTAACGAATTTCGGTTCGGAATCAGAAACGACTGTTTGTGGTTGTGTTTATGTTTGTTGAACAAACTTGGGTTGAGACAAAAAATCAAATGGATTAAAATCTGTATCGGGTTGTGGTAGTGGTAGTGGTTGTGTTTGTGATAGTGGTTGCGTTGGTCGTTGTGGAAAATATGAAAGCATATCGCCATAGTGGTAATACGGAGGTGAAAAATAGGTTGATCAAAGGAAGATATTGGGGTTGCGGTGTTTCTAGCCGGGGTTTTTTTTTTTTTTTTTTGTGGGTCTTTTGGAAGATGATATTTTGAAAAAAAAATTGAGGAAGAGATAGTAAAAACTAAAAAGATAAGAAATTATTGTGAAAATTTTTAAAGGAATGGTAAGTGTATATATATATATATATATATATATATATATATATATATATATATATATATATATATATATATATATATATTAACTGTGCAAAGGACCGGTCAAAGAAAGGAGCAGCCATTCATGAGACACGGCCATAACTTGCCACGGTGCGGCTAAAACCGTAGGAAATCACACCCAGGGGACGGTGTGCACGGTCCAACTAGCAAACCGCGGTTCCAAACTGCGCCCCACACCGCTTAGTCTAATCTTGTATATTACCTTGATGGACCCAGGACCAAAGGGATATTAGTGGCCAAGAACATCAGCTGCGGTTTTGGATCTTTTATTTTGGATGAAAGGGGCATTTTGGTCAAAAATCCAGAGTGACGATATTACCGACTGGAAGTGGGAAATTTGTCGGGTTTCATATATCATACTCCAAATGCCGTTAGTGAGAACAGAGTTCACAGTACACTATAGTAGATAGTAGTGGTCCGAGAGTCTCGAGTCACCACACTTCCATTCCATCCAACCGACTATCACTTCTTCTCTGGTACGTTCATATTCTCTCTCTCTCTCTCTCTCTCTCTCTCTCTCTCTCTCTCTCTCTCCTTCAGCTACGATGTTTTGATCGATTCTAATTCGAAATACTTAAATCTAAGTTCTAATATCTTATGCTACTTCAAATCTGGCAGTAAAAGCAGCAACATCTAGACTGTAGCTTCAATAGCCAACTTAACACCAAGTTTTGATGTTCCCAAAAACGAGAACGAATTTAGATCTTATCATGTTATGTTTAACGCCAATATTTCTTTCTCTTTCTTCCAATATTTGATATACCGTTCATTTGAATTTGAAGTATTTTTCTGATTTGCACATCAATATGAATTGAAATCAAATTTGTTTCTCGTGATTCATATATAACTCCCACAGCCTAGTGTTTGAAACAATCTACAGCGAGATTCAAATGACAACAGCTAGTTGTAGCGATTCGCCTCTTGTTGCTCAAAGGTCCGTATCATACTAATCCTTAATATTTAAACTTTCATGCATACTTTGACTGAATATAATTTTTAATTTAACTATAATACTGTGTTGTATATTAAATTGATATTTATTAATCATATGTACTTCATTTAATCACAAGTATTAAATTTATATAATTTTTAAGGTTATTAGGAAAGGTGGCTTTGGTAACCGGTGGTGCAACCGGTATCGGAGAGGGCATCGTACGTCTCTTCCACAAACACGGTGCAAAAGTTTGTGTAGTCGACATCAACAACAACCTCGGCCAACACTTATGTGAGACCCTCGGTCCCACCACCCGTTTCATCCACGCTGACGTGACAATTGAGGACGACCTCTCCCGTGCAGTCGACTTCTCAGTCTCCAATTTCGGCACACTCGATATCATGGTCAACAACGCTGGTATAAGTGGGCCACCTTGCCCAGACATCCGTGAATTCCCCATATCGACCTTCCAACAAATATTCGACGTCAACACCAAAGGCACATTCATCGGGATGAAACATGCAGCCAGGATCATGATCCCGTTAAAAAAAGGTTCAATTGTTAACATTGCTAGCGTGGCAAGTGTTATAGGAGGGTTGGGCCCGCATGCGTATACCGCGTCCAAACATGCGGTTGTGGGGTTGACAAAAGGTGTGGCGGCTGAGCTCGGGAAACATGGGATTCGTGTGAACTGTGTGTCACCGTATGGTGTTTTGACGGACCTCGCGTTGGCACATCTTTATGAGGATGAACGGACGGATGATGCCAAGGCGGGGTTCAAAGCTTTTATCGGGAAGAATGCCAACTTGCAGGGTGTGGAGTTGGTGCGGGATGACGTGGCGAATGCGGTGTTGTTTTTAGCGAGTGATGACGCGAGGTATATAAGCGGGGACAATTTGTTTGTTGATGGTGGTTTCTCGTCTACAAATCACTCACTTCGTGTGTTTCGGTGATTGTTTTTATTTTATGTATGATTTGTATTTTTATTTTGTTGGATTTGTATGCATTGAATAAAAGTTTTGGAACTTTTTAACTTGGAACAGATTTGAAGTCTAATGTTCAACATCAAAAGTGACATGAAGTAAAAAGTGTTTCAGTTAATTTGAAGCTTGCCCATGTCAATCATGTGCCAAGTATGCAATTTCTCAGAATCACCAGCAGAATTTGACCTAAAATGTGTTTTTATCTTGTTGCCATTAGCATAACGTTTCAACCCCTCGATTTCATTTCTCATAGACTGGTATTGACCTGTGTATCAAAATTCATAAATCTTTTATGTCAGAAAATGCAAAAATCAATAGGATTTGGAACGAAGGATGAAGTATGAAAGATGAGCAACTTACGTTCCATGATAAATTTTTCTTGTTGCACTCTGGACAACTTGTGTTTTAGTTGCTTGTTCTCCATTGACAAATAGACATGTTCTTTTACAAGAGAATCAACTCTAATACCCAATTCTGACACGATATTCTGCATTATAACATATTATAAGATAAATATAAAAACGTTGAAAAAAAATAGAATTTTAAATGATGGTTTTACTTTTACCTGAAATTTTTCAACAGTTCTTTCTAGTTCTGCTATATACAGGAGTTTACGAACTCGTGACCTTTGAGCAGAGTGCCTAAATAATAATCATTACCAGAAATTGAGCTTAACAGTATAAAAAATTTGCTAAGACAATTCAAATAAAAGAATTCACAAAGTAATGAATCTAACCTTTTAAATGGTTTAGCCTCCATATTAAGTTCATCAGTTGAATCTTGTAGTTGTAGAACTGAATCAAGTTGCAGAGGAGCATGAGAGGCATACTCTGATAAAGCAGAAACAATAGCAGTTTCTTGAATGGATGATACTTTGTCCTTGCTCCTAGGTGAGTTAGGGCCATATATGCAACCAGACTCCAAAGAAGAAGAAGAAGAAGAAGTTCCATTTTTCTCATCTTTTTCAAACTCAACAAGCCCATCCAAAACAGTTCCAGAATCACTAGATGCCCTACGATGAGACTTAAGTTTTAAACCTGGTTCACAATCACCTAACAGATCATCTAGCCAGTCTGGATGTTCTTCAAAAACAAAACTTTCTGATACAGTTTTCTGGAGTCGTGGCTGATTGCTAGGATCAACAATTGGGAAATTTGTCTTTGAGATAGGGCACCTAGGTGGAAGTTGAGGTTGCCTTGGCATGGTTAACTAGATTTTTTACCCTTGAAGACGAAAACAAACTGAAAAAAGAAACAAGAATAGTTTGAGTAACTTCTGGAACACTATACTTTCTAACAGTTGCATGTTAGAAAGTATAGTGCAATTTTCATAGGGTTAAGGGAGTTGAAAAGATTAATCTGTTTTGGACCTTCAAAACCTAGTTTTTTGCCTACAAAACCAAGATTTCCTACAGAAACTAGAGTCGCATTTCTCACTCTTTCAAATTAGAGAAAATAAACAATGGCTTCAGTCTGATAATTCAAATTTGTTGACCTAGTTTATCAAGTTGAATAGCTTGTTTGGCATCAAAATTCAACCCAAACCTACACGGCTACACACACGTCCTCTTTTGGAATAGAAGCGTTCTGCCGCTTCTTTCATGTACAAATCGGTTCTAGTTCTTGGCTCATGTACTAATCAGGGTAGAAGCAAAAGAACAGCAACATAATTTGAACGACTTAGGAAACCTAGTCGATTAATTTAACTGAATGTACAAATAAAACAACAATTCACCATTAACCGAAGCACGAAACCCCCCTCAAACATCGAAACCACGGTACACCAAAACGAAATGCAATTGAAAGCATCAAAATGAGTAGAAAATTTATCAAAAGAGACCTGAGTTTCATCGATTATTCATTCTCCAAAAGGTGAAAAGGAAACTGACAGTCATATACGGAATAAAGGAAACCATCATACAAAGAAGATTAAGAACAAACAATCAAACTTTTTCGCATGCAATTTGGAGAAACTTGTAGTAGAAAAGAGTGAAAGATTAACAATGTAAGAAGCAACAAGGGAATTTTTGGGAAATTTGACGTACCTTTTTCCCCCGATTTTCGAGAGAGTGTGGAGAGGAGATACGATGCGTAGAGTGTGATTTCCAGCTGAGCGGTTCAAGCCGTCACGCTTTGGGTCTTTACACGTTAGCTGGGTGACTGCTTTGTACAAGTGGGGTTCAACTTCAAACAAAAAAGAATATTTAAACCATTAAAAATTGGAATTTTGGATTTTGGAGTTTGGGGCGGATGGATAGGTTTATGACTTTGAGTCCACTTGATAAACAAATTTAGGCTTTTTCTAGAGTATTCATTAGAGTGATTAATTTTTTGTGGTTAAATATATTCAGGTGATTAATTTTCATCTTATATCGTAAAAGAATCACTAAAATTGTTTCACACCCCGTGAATTCATAATGTTATTTTTTCTTAACAAAAAAATATTGTTTTTTCTTGACAAACAAAAAAGTTGGTAAATTAAGCCGGAAATTTGTATGCTCGTGAATTTCTTTTGGAAGGTAATAAATTTGGTGTGTGTGAGCTTTTTAGCAAATTTTCGTTCCAGGGATTTTATAGAGGGCAAAGGGCCGAAGATGATGACCTTCACGAATGATAAAAACGATTTATTGGGAGTCTAAGGGAGAGAATCATTGAGGGAACGTTGAAGGAGGAGACATTAGTATTGTCTATGTGACTGATAAATATGCAAAGAGTTATGTGGGCCCACTCGCGAATTAGTTGGCCTATATATCATAAATAATGGATTTTTATAGATGGTATTATAGAAGGACATTGGTGGTTTTGGATTGGTCTCAGGTCTTTTTTTTGGATCATCATTGCGGTCTTTGCATACGTCTTTTTGCGGTTCAATTTTAAGGTTTGTTTCTCTTTAGAGTTTTTCCGTAAACAAGTGTGTGATTAACACCAAAATGAGATTTAATAAAATTATACACTAAAAATGATATACTAAAATTTAAAAAATGATCAACACAAAGTATATTTACATAAACTTACATTGTTGGTGTTTTTTTAGATGGTCTCACATCAATCTAGCAAATGATGTCTCTTTCATGACCGGTCTTGAATCGGTATGTTCTTCTTTCCTATAAATGTTTTGTTAAATTGTGTTTGATGAATGTTCATTTGAATCTGTTGTTGAAAAGTGTTTGCTAAATGTGTTTAAAAGATTGTTGAAATATGTTTGAAATGTTGAAGGGTCTTATTTGAAATGGTGTTGAAATATGTTCATCTGAAATCTTTTGCTAAAAAGTATTGCATAAATATTCATTTGAAATCATTTGATTTTGAACTGACATTGAAATGATTTTGAAATGTTTTGTTGAGCTCTAATATATGTTTTTGTTTTTGTTAGAAGGTTAAAATATATTTTTTTCCGTTTAAAAACCTTACCAAATAGTATTGAATCATTCATCTCTCTAAATCATTCAATAATCTCAAGGCGGCTCAATCAATTTGGAGACTCTAAGCAAACAAAAAAATTAAGGCCTTCAACTAAGCAATGATTTTGAACTTGAGACCTTTAGTTGTATAAAAGAATATTTTTATCACCAAGCCAAGCTTCAACTTTCTTTATACCCTAAGAAATACATACATACATACATACATACATATATATATATATATATATATATATATATATATATATATATATGACAGAATAAACATAAATGGTAGAGTCGGCCTTGAATAATCTTAACGGTACAACTTAATACTACAAAACTTCAACCCGATTAATGATTTGGTTCAACTTTTACCAAAATCCAACCAATTAAAGGTGGTTCCCTAAAGTTAAAAGATCAACTTACTATTGACCGGAAGATCAAACAAAAATCATAACTAAAGTAAGGAGCGTTGTGAGCTGAAGTCTGGTTTAGATGACACGTGTCAAAAACTCGGAACTGCTCCTTTAGATGAACTGAAAGTCTGAAACAGCCCACAGGTATGGAAGCATTTTCATGCGTAAGGTCCTACATGGACAAAATGTTCACTAGTGAAAACCACCATGACCTAGTGGTTGTCTTGTAGGGTGGTGGCTATCACAGCCGTTCACCAATTCATTTGAATCTATTTCTCTCTTCTTTTTTCTTTCTATCTCTCTTCTTGATTGGTTCTTCACTAATGAATATCATCTCAAAGCTAATAGAACAACCAACCACACTTGTTCGGTGATGATGTGCATCCAAGTACGTAGACTTGCTTCTCACTTATTGTCCTCACTAGTGTCACTAGTGTTGGATAGTGACAAGTGTAAAACGTATCCTTCAATTTTAGTTTTGCAACAAGATTTTAAGCTTTAAACCATAATTGTTATTAATAATAAAATTACTATTAATATTTATTTTTATTGTGTTTCAAATTTAACAGATCAAATCAAATATATAAATAAATAAATAAATAAATAAACAAAACGGTTTAAACAGGTCCTACTCCTACGAATAGAAAATGAACATAGCAGGAATGGAGATTATGATATGATATATATTTCAAGTAGCAAAACCATTTACCAAGTAAATCATCCTATTTTCAAAAGTAAATATTACATAAACGTCAGTAACAATAACACTTAAAAACCACAAACTCATTCTATTAGTATTATACACAATTGAGGTCGAGTTTGGGCTTTTCTTTGCTTTCAGTTATAATTGGGCCCGTTTGGGCCCTTATTGAAATATCCATTCCTTTTATCCAGAAAATGACGATTGACGCCTTCCTACTTTCCAATTTCCAATATCACATTCATAAACCTGCAAATCAATAAAAAACTAATTGAATAAAAGATATTGAATAATATTTAAATTCAATACGTGTAAGCTGTAAGGGATATATATCAGGCGTATGGTCCCACGTGACACATAAATGCCACGCGTTGTGGGTCCACTTTAATTTCCCACCGGAAAAATAGTGTTTATCCGAAATGGCATACCTCTCTAGCCGGTATCAGTCCCGGAAAATGACGCCGTCTGCCATATCCATCAACGCCGGCAAGCAATCCGGGGAGAACTTACGTGCAAAGAAGTATGAGAATGTCGAATTTGAAACCCTCAGTGTCTGGATGAGCTCCGGAGATACATCCGGTGGGTGATACGTATGTGGGTGCCCATCCACGCTGCCGGTCCAATTTACCCGAGTGAGTGTGTGCTTACTAACTCGTTTCGGATCCTTCATTGACAGAAGTGTCGGAAAGTAATGCTCCTCCGGGTAACAAGTATCGACGTTTAAACATGGCAACCGGAATTTCTTCCATAACTTCCGGTCCTTGACTACCATCAACGAGTGAGCCCGAGTCAAAATGAAGAACTGCGATCCAACCCTAAATTTATCGAAAGGGATCTCCGGCAGCATGACGTTTTCGCCTCTAGCGATGTATCGGTCCCACAGTTGGGGTTCCTCCGATAACACTTCGATGAAGCTAAGTCGAGTCGAAACCCGGGTCGACTCGGTGGGTCGTCGGAAGAGCGTTTGGTACATGTAACGAAAGGAATGTAAAGGGATGCACGTTTGGGAGACGAGGGCAAAGTAGGAATTTAAAGGGTCGTCGAGTATGGCGGTGGCGAGGAGGCGGCGAGCGGCGGAAATGAGTGTTGGAGAGGATCTCTGCGTTTTTTTAGCAGCGATGAAGCGGTTTTCGAATACACCGCCGGGAGATTTGACGTTCGATTTTGGGTAAGCATGGACGTAAATATTATACAGATCTCGTTGCCTATATTTACGAGCATCAAAGAACTTTTCCCAGAGAGGGGCAAAGTGAAGATCGGTATTGGTGAGAAATAGGAAGGCGATTTTGGGTTTTGCGTCGGTGGTTCCAAGGCGGGAGACATGTTGACGAGGTTGGACTGAAGAGAGGATTGCTCGCCGGAAAAGTGAAGCATCGTCTATCTTGTCGGGGAGAGAAATCAGGAGGCGTTTGGGAGGGAGGCTCCGAGGGGAGAAGAGAAACAAAAGCGGTGCTGTAAGTAGCAGAGTGAAGGAGAGTACGAAGGGGGCGTTTAACATATCTCAAATCTGTCGGTGTTTATGTGTATTTCAACTGAAAATTGCTGGTAAAGCGGAGAAGAAGATGGAAAACAGCGATAATTGCAGAAAGGGAGTAGACTTTTGGTGGAGGGGGGACTGGGACTCGGGGTGAGCATGAACCGGTGGAAGTGAAGTAGGTATCGTTCAGTGGGATTCTTTTTATTGTGGGTTTGTTGACTAAAAAGAGTAAAAGACACCGTTTTATTATTTAACAAAAGGCCCCATTAACAAAATAAGATAAAGATATACCGTATACGTGTTTAAAACTTTGAATGGGGTATTTTGGAATTGTTGCTAGTGCTTCAAAATTCAGTTTTGTCTGCTTTCTTTGTTACTAAATCATGCAACTATAATATAATTTAGACATAACTGAAAAGATGGTTCTTGTAGTAAGTATTTTTTTTATATTTACTTTGTATTTCGATTTTTTTGGTTTCATGGTCTTTTTAAGTTAATTTTATTACGTTGATTTTTCAGTAAACTGAAATGAGTTTAATACCTTTATGGTATTTATTTTTTATTTTTCTTTTATTTTTTTAAAATTTAATCCTTATTTATTTATTTATTTATATATTTAAACAATAAAAAAAATAAGAGGAGTAACATTCCAAAAAGTAAAATTTTTGTTTTTCATAAACAACTCATACATCATAACTGTTTACAAAACATTATTTCAAAAGTATAAGTCATAAACATAAAAATACAAACGAATGAGCACGATTATGCATTTGCATTCCCCTAAACCTCTAAAGTACATAAAACAACAGACTGAAACTATAAGCTAACGCTTAGTGAGTTCCTTCAAAGTACCACACACAAGCATATAAACAACAGCATACATACATGAGTCTTCAGCATGACTGGATCGCCTTGCAGGCCTACAGACTATATGGATCGCTCTTAAGGCCTTCGACCTAACCAGACCGCCTCGCAGGTCTTCCGTCTATCTGCCCCCCCTGGGTGTCGTGGCCTTCAGCAACAGTTGGTCCGCCTCAACCCAACAAACCATAACATGTCGACATATACAATATCAATCAGTAATCAGTAAGCACAAATAGTCCTACAAATCTACCAGTCTAATCGCATAACCAGCAAACACATATCTCAGCATAACATTACACGACAAAACATGATATCTAATCCAATAGGCCGGCCTTGGTGCCTTCGACCCATAAGTACAGTGAGGAAAACTTACATCTCAGTCTGAACAAATAGTTGAATAGGTCTTTACTCTGAATATCAGATCTACCCGTCACCTATTCATCAAATATTGATCAATCTCAAATACATCTCAAAATACCCAAAATACCCTTAGGTCAAACTTGGTCAAATCTGGATCAAAAGGGAAAAAGTTAAACTTGGTCAACATAGTTGAGTACGCCGAACGCATTGTAATGCCTGCAGATTCGGGCTAGTCAAGTTAGATATAATATGTAACACCTTAAAAATTTGAACAATTTTTCACTTTTGAAAACCATAAAATATCATTTGTAATCATAAATAAAACATTGTGTCAACATTGTATCAGTACAAAACCCAAGATCAAAATACATAAACTCCGGTGTGCGTGTGTACGAATCATGCCGACGTCTTCCCGCGATCATCACTGGTACCTGAAACACATAACACATAACACTGTAAGCATAAATGCTTAGTGAGTTTCCCAAAATACCACTCTAACACATAATAGCCACTCGAGGCTGTAACTCTGTTGACCCTCAGGTTTATGTGTCTCACAGCTCTCTATGGGACCTCTGGCCCTAACTCTGTGGACCCGAAGGTCCTAACTCTGTAACTCTATTACATAACTCTAAATCATAGCACATAAATAACATGCAATTACACTGGCATATAACTCTAAATTACTCTATCACATAAACTCTATTACCACATTAGGTAAAGTATAGTGAGAAGACTCACCTCGGTTATCTCGGTAATCTCTGACTCGGTAACGCTGATCTAACCTCCGCCTAATCATATAAAATAAATACCCTAATTATTATAACTCTCAAAGGCTAGACTATGTCCTCTTATGACACTCTCAGAAGGGTAAAAGACCATTTTACCCATCTCGCAACTCAAAAGGCCCCACAATAGACCATACCCTAAAAGTCAACCCAAAAGTCAACTTTACGTGTTACGCTGCGCGTACCAGATGTGTACGCTGAGCGTACCCGGCTGCATCTCAGGATTGGGGAACGCCACCCAGTACGTGGCGCGTACTGGGATTACGCCCGACGTACTCCCCAGCTTCAACCCCTTAACTCTTTAGGTCTTAAACAGTTAGACTCACATCCAATTTCTAGATCTCACCACGTCTAAGCCTCTTAATCCATAAAGTTGATGACTTTATGCCTTTGCATGGCTGAACAAGCCACCAACTCCCATAATATTCCATCCTCTAACCCTAGAAGGCTTATTACTCAAGCATGACTTCAAACTAACACTAAAGATGGAAACTTTATGGCTATAAATCACTAATAGCACTGAATGGGGACAGATCTCGGACCATGGAGCACTTTACACTCATAAAGTCTCCACTTTTAGGGTTTTTAGCCCTAGCAATAGCACATGCAACAACAAATCAAAAGAAGAGGAAAGTTTTGAACTTTATACCTCTAAGTGTAGTCCCTTGCTCTGTAGATCTCATATCCAAAATAACACCTCAAGCTTTAGCTTCCAAGAACTCCTTTCCTTTTTATTCACTAAGTCACCAAAGCACAATTAGCTCCAATAACACTCACACACACTAAGGACGGTGGGAAGCTCTCTTTTAGGGTTTCACTCACTGATATGGAGGCTGAAAAATGAGCCTTAGCACCCTTTAAATAGTGCACAAGACGGATTAGGGTTTTGCACTTAGGCCGGGTACGCCCGGCATAACTCTGGGTACGCCCAACGTACCTTGGCGATTCCACGTCCAAACTTAGCACACGAGTACGCGCAGTGTACCCCTCTAGTACGCCCAACGTACTCACTTGCTACGTTCCCTACACACAAGGGCTAATCATGACTAATGACAAAGAATAAGGGTAAAAGAAACGCACCTGAATCTCGGGGTGTTACAATTCTCCCCTACTAGAACCACACTTCGCCCCCGAAGTCTCATTCCTCGAACAACTATGGATGCTTTCCTCGCATCTCCGACTCTGACTCCCAAGTCATTTCGGACCCCTTCCGATGTTGCCACTGAACCAAAACCAGAGGCACTTCCTTGTTCCTCAAAACCTTGATCTTCCGATCCCTGATCGCCACTGGTCTCTCAGCATAATTCAGACTCGCATCCACCTAAATATCCTCCAATGGCACCACTGCCGACTCATCTGCTATACACTTTCGTAATTGCGACACGTGAAAGGTGTCATGAATCTGACCCAACTCTGCAGGTAGCTCCAAGCGATACGCTACCCTGCCTACCCTTACGATCACTCTAAACGGCCCAATATATCGGAGTCCCAGCTTGCCCCTCTTCCTGAATCGGATCACTCCTTTCCAAGGAGATACCTTCAGGAGCACCAAATCACTGACCTGAAATTCGAGCTCAGATCGTCGCCTATCAGCATAACTCTTATAGAGACTCTGAGCGGTCAACAACCTCTGCCTGACCTGTTGGATCTGCTATGACTTCTGAAGCACTATCTCCGTACTACCCATCACACGCTGCCCCACTTATCCCCAACAAATGGGGGTCTGACACCTCCTCCCATACAACAGCTCAAAGGGTGGCCTACCAATGCTTGATTGATGGCTGTTGTTGTAGGAAAACTCCGCCAAGGGTAAGTACGTGTCCCAACTCCCGCCGAAGTCCAACACACATGCCCGAAGCATATCCTCGAGCGTCTGAATCGTCCGCTCACTCTGTCCGTCAGTTTGGGGGTGGTACGCGGTACTGAAATGCAGTCTAGTACCCAATTCCTCATGGAATTTCTTCAGAATCTAGAGGTGAAACGCACATCTCGGTCTGAGACAATCGAGATCGGCACTCCATGTCGTGCTACCACTTCCCTCACATACATCTCTGCCAAACTCTTTGCGCAAGAGCTCTCGCTAATAGCGAGGAAATGAGCGCTCTTCATCAACCGGTCTACAATCACCCAAATTGCATCGACACCCCTCGCAGTCCTCGGCAATTTGGTGATAAAGTCCATGGCAATATGTTCCCACTTCCACTCGGGAATCTCTAACGGCTACAACTTATCGTGCGGTCTCTGGTGCTCGGCCTTAACCTTGCGACAGGTTAGGCACCTCTCCACGAACCATGCAACGTCCCTCTTCATACAGGGCCACCAATACTCCCTTTTCAGGTCCAAATACATCTTAGTGGCCCCGGGATGGATCGATAACTTCGATCGATGAGCCTCTTCCATCAAAATGGTACGCGTTCCGCCCACATGCGGCACCCAAATCCGACCCTGAAACGTCATAAGCTCCCGACCATCGGTAATGAACTCCGATACTTGCCCGATAACTCGCTCTCTCTTCTGGTTTTCCGGTCTAACGACCTCGGTCTGAGCTCCTCGAATGGTGTCCAATACCGGAGTCATCACTGTCAATCTCATACAAATGTCACGCATCGGAACACTCTCCGCCCTATGACTCAAGATTTTTGATTTGTTATTATATGTGACATCCCCAAAATCACGGCCAGAAAAGACCGGTTTTGTTTATACTTTATTTCAAAATCAGAGTTATCTTTTAATAAAAGGTTTGCGGAATTTGTCCCAAAACAATAATATTATAAAGATTTATCAAAAGCATTTCCATAGAAATGTATTCATTAAAAGACTCGGGATGTCATGTTCGTACAGATCAAAAGTATAAACAGTACAATATAAGCCTTACTACATTATTCTGTATTTACAGGCCTAAAATCCATGAATCTCTCATCCCAAGATATCACATCTATGCTCATGCGCCACTACCTGTAATACAAGAAACTGAGTGGGTCAGGCTTGGGATCCTGGTGAGCACATAGGGTT